CATGCTCCTATTCATGCGAGTGCGAGAATAATGGCGTATCTTGAGATAGCTGGTTTTGCAAATATATCAAAAATAAAAAGTCTAAAAATCGACTCAAGCTTGGTTGTGGCGCTGTTGGAGAAGTGGAGACCGGAAACACACACGTTTCACCTCTCAACAGGCGAATGCACAATAACTCTTGAAGATGTGTGTATGTTACTTGGTCTACGAGTTGATGGAATAGCCATCAACGGTCCCACTGAGGTAACAAACTGCGTTTACATGGAAAACTTGAGGGTGAAACCTACAGAAGAGGAAAAATTAAAGGTTCTGTTAAGATAACCTGGCTAGAGGGTTTATATGGAACTTTAAAAAATAAATTTGCCCCTACCCAAGAAGACGTTCTCTTAGAAGCTAAAATTTATATTTTACTTGTAATCGCTACAATTTTGTTTCCTGACAAAAGTCAGAATCTATTGCATTCTTCTTGGATCCCTTTCGTAGGGAATCTTATAAAATGCGGCACCTATAGTTAAGGTTCTGCATGCCTGGCAAAATTGTATAGAGAAATGTGCAAGGCGGCAGTGAAAGATGTTAGGAGCTTGAGCGGATGTGCACTCCTACTAACTTCATGGGCATTCACACGTATCCCATTGTTCGCTCCTGTCACTACAGTGGAACCCTCGTATCCATATGCACAAAGGTATTACTTTATTAAAATACTCATTTATGTGTACATAACGTAAATATTTTTTATTCAACTATCTCTAACAATATTTTTTTTGGTATACAAGATGGGCGCAACGAGGAATGAACTACCGTGCAATTCCTCGTTTCCATATCCAAGGTTATCGAAACGCATTGGACCATATGCAAGAACACGATGTAAGTTTCAAACCACGTGGAAATAGTCTTCGATTCAACTCATTAACGGTATATTAATTTCCTTTTTTTTGTTGCAGTTCATATGGAGACCGTACATTCGATGTCCGCTACCGAGGCTTGAAGATAGCCAAATCTGGAGTGCAACAACATTCCTTATTTGTTTCTATACCGTTGAGATGCATCAAACGGATAGAGTAACACTCCAGTTTGGACGAGACCAACAAATCCCTCCCCCAAAGGTGTCTAAGGGAACACCACGCCATGACTATGAGAAAGGCACAAAGAATGAATTGGCGACAATTAAACAATGAGGAGCTCAAAGAATGGAGACACAGAAGACATGTGATTTTACAAGGGGACGTCGTGTTAGGTGAACGCAAGCCAAGTCAAGAGTATTTAACTTGGTTTCGTGCCATTCCTTATGCGCACATTGCTCTGGACCAATTTTTAACCGACCCACGCTTGCAAGGATCATCATCAACACAACAAACTACGACATCAATGCATCAGGATGTGCCACAAACCCACACATCCCAACATACACACCAACACCAAACACCCAACAATCCACTCCATCAACAAAACTACACCTACCAATACAACCAACAATATCAGCCTCAGCCATACCTACGACCACCCATACAGTTCACCCCAGTCTAACCGCCCCTCTTTGACCATACCGACCCTCATTTCCAATATCAACCCTCCAACACAACCTACTCTCAACCCGCCTCGACCATCAACACTACCTATACTCAACCCACCCCGAACTTCACGCCTGATGACGTTTACTACCCAACCTTTCAACACCCCCCGTCCGAAACCTACCCGCAACCACCGCAACCACCACACTCATTCCAACAGTTTTTGTTGACAGACGAGCAAATGCAGATGCCGGATTTTAACATTGATGATCTTCTCGATGAGCAACCGGGACCCTCTTCACGGCAGACAAACCCCCTACAACACATCACAATGAAGACATGTCTTCTGACTCATCTGAATCAACTAGAAATGAGCGTTTGGGTAGGGGATATAGACAACGAAGGATCCCTAGGTGTGGAACTGGGGGACATATTAGATGAAATGTATTTTTATTTTAATTAATGTTAAAATTATTTATTAATGAGTATTTAATAATTTAATTATTTATTAATGAGTATTTAATAATTTAATTTTTTTAAAAATTATTAACATTATTTAACTTATTATTTATAATTAAAATTTTATTATTTATTAAAATTAATATTATTATTTTATTATTAATTATAAATTATAATACATAAATAATTAATGTATTAAAAAATAAATTACTAATAATAAATATCTAAAACTCAGAATTAAAAAAAAAACAAAATTCCATGTGTACAAGCTCGTCCTTCCAATGGACGAGGTCATACCGAGCCCATTTGCTTCACTAACTTGTTCGCCCGCGCGAACAAGTATTGCTTCACTAACTCGTCCTTCCAATGGGCGAACAAGTATTGGGCCAAACTGGTTTGTCACTTCAATGGGCGAGTTCGTAGTAAAAAGGGGTACTATGATAAAAAATTTCAAATTGGGGTATTATGGTATATTATATTTCAAAATGGGGTAGTACGGTTAAAAATCCATTGCGACTCGTTTGGATCCAAGCAAACAACAAAAAAACCTACATCTAAAGGGGAAACACGGTTGCGGCTTCTTGAAATGGGTTCTCAGCAAATGACCTCCAACTTTTATTTTTACCAAACACGATCAATCCTCCTTCTACTCTGTTCATCAACGCACTTCTGATAGAACGCTACCAACGCCTTTGTGATACTCTTCCTAATAGCACAAATATGAGAAATGCGACCTCCTCCCTTCACTCTGATCCTCATATCAACGCCTTAAAAATGGTTCCGTTCGGGAATGAGAATTGGTTCGTACTCCTTGAAACGAAGAATCTCAGGCTCGACGAGTTCAATCGGAGAACCATTGGTCTTGATGAGACCACGGCCTCTCTTGCAATGGGTCACCGCGACACCGTTTTTTTTCTACCGAAGCATTGAATATGTTACATTTTGCTCTTTTAGACGCCATAGAAAACGTGATATAAGCTAAGGTTTTGGTTTTTGTGTTATTGTTATCGGAGCAAAGTTTGTGTTGTTCAGTGATGGCGGAATAGGGAAGACGATGATTCTGTGTATGTTGCAATGCAGTTTGAAGGGGGATATTTTGATGATGGTGATAAGAGATGGGAAATGGATGAGGTAAAATAAAAGAGGCACTGGGGATTGAAGGGGCCGAAGTGCGAGATTCATGATGAAGAGTTTAAATTACGCCTTAAACGAAAGGTTTGTGTTTTGAGGGGTTTTCAATTTCTTAGAGCCTTCTTTCTCCTTTTTTTTCTAGTTTATGGTTCTGATTTGGTTTGAGTGTATTTTACAAAGAAAACTGGGTTGAGTGAGGATTGGTTTTGTTTGTGAAAACCAGGTTACAGGGGAAGGCTGGATATCGAGCAGGGTATTGAAGGTTGTTGGGCAGCAAACGATTCTGAAGTTTTTCTTTTTGTCCTCAGATCCTCCTCATTGTGGCTCTCAGGACCTCTCTTTTTATAGTGTGTAGTAAGGGCACTTGTGGAAAGGCTTGAGAGGATACATGCTGGCAATTTTCATAACCGTTTTATTTGTCGTTTATGGCTGGTATTTTATTTGTGAGAAAGTATATCCTGCTGCTTGTTGTAGTAGCTAGAATTGTGGGTGTATCGCAGAAGCTCACATATTGTTCTGGTTGAAGTGTGCGGTTTTTGTGGTGAGTTTTTGACTTGTGGAGCTTGTAACCTGGTGCACTACCAATAGTGGGTTCTTGACCTACCAAGTTGCACAAATATTCATGACGTTAGGTGTTGCGGAAAAATGAATTAGTGGGTTGGTGTGAAGAATGATGTGCGGTATGCTTGTGGGGTCATCCTCCTTGCAATTTTGTTCTTTCTTTTTTTGTTTTTTTGTTTTTTTTGCAAATCGGGCTTGAACTTAGGCTTGTGTAAAAGGACATAATTTTTTTTTTGACTTTTCTTAGGAAGCTTTACCCTATACCCCTACACTTGTACCCACACCCCTACATTAAAAAATATTGGACCAAAATACCCTTGTTTAAATATCTATAATTTTTTTCATTTTTCCTTCATTCCCAAACACAAAGACATCCGGAAGCTCTCTTTCTTTTAACAAACCGGAAGACTTCAACCAAGACATCCGGAAGCCATTTTTGATCAAATACATACCGGAACACTACAAGTAAGTCATCCGGTTTGTAATTTTTTTTTCATCTTCACCGGAAGACTTAACGAATGTCTTCCGGTTTGTAAACTTGTTGATTTTGTCTTCCGGAACTCTTTCCTAAAGACTTCCGGTACACGCGAATTGGATTTTCTTCACCGGAACTCTTATTAAAAGACATCCGGTACAGACAAAAACTATTTTTCTCACCGGAACACACTCCTGAAGAGTTCCGGTGTATTGTTTTTTTTTTAATTTTTTTTCTACGTATTTATTTTTTTTTCTACTTATTTTTTTTTCTACTTATTTAATTTTTTTCTACTTATTTATTTAATTTTTTTTTCTACTTATTTATTTATTTATTTTTCTACTTATTTATTTATTTATGTTTTAATTTTTAATTATTTTTTTTTTCAGTGGTGCGCACACGAGGCAGAGATGGTAGGATCCCTCATGGAGTAGGACGGGGTGAGTCATCGAGAATGGCTGAAGAAGAGCATTTTGATGCATCTGCATCAGCATCAGCATCCGAGCCGGTTGGATATCTAGGAGGACCGTCTGATACATCTCTGTTAGTTAAATACGGACAGCATATTACAAACCGTATATGGTTCGGTCAGGTAAGAAAACGAAAATTATTTAATATTCAATAGAATTCAAATTTTTAATTGTTTTAATTGTTTTCAGGAGAGAGGGTCGAAAAAAGAGTTAAAGGTAGCGGGGCATGGATTGAAGTTGATGCAGAGGGTTCCACTACAGCTACCCAGAGAGATGGAGGGCTAGATATCTAGGTCTGGTCTAGCTTCACTCCAGAGAACTAGTTTAACAAAGATAGACACAAACCTAGTTTCAGCATTTGTAGAGAGATGGCATCTAGAGACATCTTCATTTCACATGCCGTTTGGTGAGATGACGACTACTCTAGATGACGTTTCTTGTTTGCTTCACTTGCCCATCAGGGGAGTCTTCTGGAGTCCTCAAGATATTAGTGAAGCGCTTGCTGTTGAGTGGGCTGTTCAATATTTAGGAGTGTCACGGAGAGTAGTACAACAACAAATTCGTGAATGCAGGGGTTCCTACTATAAGCTGGAGTGGTTATATGATATGTTCGTAGAGCACAGAGCTGCATCTAGATGGGATTATGCCACTAGAGCTTATTTGCTGATGTTAGTGGGTTCCACTATTTTCGCGGACATGTCGTTTACTCTTGTCGAGGCACGATACCTGTCACTGTTTATAGACTTGGATGGCTTACCAGGATACAGTTGGGGAGCAGCTGCATTGGTTACTCTTTACAGATATCTCGGAGATGCTTCTATGTTCAGCTGTAAGCAGCTTGGTGGTTATTCGACTCTCCTACAGGTATTTATTTTAATGTAGTATATTTTATTTATCTAGTTTATTATGTTATAATTAATTATTTTAAATTTAGTAACCATATTAATTTTGTAACAGTGTTGGATTCATGAGTATTTTCCAACGCTTGGAAAAAAAGGAGAGAACTGAATGCCAGCTAATAATGTGGGTCTCCCTCGAGCGATGAGATGGTCCTATAGGCAAGGTTCGTTGAAGGTGGATGACTTGCGGCCTATTTTGGACGAGCTGACACCTGCTGACGTCATATGGTGCCCATTCGAGAATCATAGAGTATGGTGTCAGTTTGATGAGCTATGTCTATATAGGGGGTGTCTGAGGTGGGGTGACACTGTTGTTCCATATTTGCCTGACAGATGTATGCGTCAGTTTGGATACCGGCAGTATATTCCATATCCACCTCTAGATCATACGATGGCTGGTGGTATTGATGTTGACTGGATTAGTTACCATCAGAGCGTTCAGAATGTGATTTGTCCGACAGCACCGGCCACCATCCCATATGAGACAGATGATGGATATCTTGAGTGGTACTATCGTGTCTCTCATCCTCGTCCGGTACCGCCACCCTATCATGATGTGCCAGTAGAGATGCCAGTTCCTGTATATGAAGCAGGACCATCTGATCCTAGCTGGGCTCGAGTGTCTTCGTTAATTCATCGGTATCTTCAGCTGGCTGGTGCTGAAGATGATGACCCACAGTTTGCAGATTTGTTCGAAGCTTTATCTATTGCTCGATCACAGTGACTTGTATTTATATTTATAATTATATGTTAACTTTTAGACTCATTTGACCTAATTGTTTTATGTTTATGTGTTAACTTTTAGACTCATTTGATCTAGTTGATTTATGTGTATGTTTTGAATGATTCACAATTCATGTTTTGAAATTAAAAATGAGTAACATAAGTCATTATTCATGTTTTGAAATTAAAAACGAGTAACATAAGTCATTATTCATGTTTTGAAATTAAAAACGAGTAACATAATTTATAATGTATAATGCGTTGGTAATATAGGCGTAAGTTGTTGCCAATGTTGTAGACGTCCTGCAAATCCTAGCATCCAAGATGTTGCTGCTGGAGAACGAAACTTCTTCCAATCTACTGTCACTGGTGGCAATGGAAACCCTTCTTTCATGTTTACCTAAATAAAAAAATAATCAAAATAGTAAGTAAAAATAACGAAAAAAACTTAAGATTAATCGCATTATCTAAAAACAACTAAGTACCTGAACCCAATGATTTCTGTTTACAAAACCAATGCAGTAAATTGCTACATTCGGTGAAAATGAAGTTGTCATAGGGAAGAAAGTCCAGCATTCAATTCCTAAACAGACAAGTACAACATTATAACGATTCGTTATCACGTAACCCATATCTGGTAGAGTTAACCATTTATGTGGTGGTTGAGGACCGACTTCCTCTATCATCAAAGATTCTCTCACCACTGCTAACTGACCAGTGAATAAATTGGCATACAAACTTGATCTTTCATTATGTATTATTTCCAAACCCAAGTCTCGATGAACCATTGTCCAACCATCTTCACCAAATCCATGCAATGAAGCAATGACTCTAAAACCATAATTACCATCTGATACAACATTAACTACATCATCAATATAGGATCGAATGTGATTAGGAAACTGAAGGATGAACTGCTTAGATGACTGTGAAGATTGTGATAATTTGATCTTCTTCGAAGCTTGTGATGGTTGAGATTTCTTTTGTGAAGACTGTGATAATTTAGTCTTCTTTGAAGTTTGTGATGGTTGAGATTGAGATGCTTGATCAACATATTCGTGATACGAAGGGTCTCTATAAACATCATATCCTACTGGTTTTTTGTCTTTTCTCTTGACTCCCCCTTTAGTTTTTATTTTCTCAAGTGGTGGACACATAGAAGTCATTGTTGGGAAGGCAAGTTCAAAAACCCTACTTTTTAATGCCCTTTTTCCAACAACATCCAGTGACTTAAACCTTTTCCATAACTCATCTATTGCACTACTCATATCCACCTCTGATCCATCATCTACGTCTTCGTCCAAATTAACTTCCATACTTAGTTTTCTCCAATGAATATGTACAACCTCTATTGGTATTGGTATACCATCAATTCTATATCCTGTCAACTCACAAGCACAAGGTAATCCGTAGGTTGTTCTAAGAGTACAACGACACTTTTCCTTGTTAGTTCCAACATAATCAACTCGTTTTAACTCTTCAGCAATGCGTCTCAATGCATCTCGAGACACTGAACCACGTATATTATTGTAAAATGGACTTACATGAGCGTGCTCAACTTCATAAAAACTCTTTTGAAAAGAAGCTCTAATATTACCCAATTGTAACTTTAAGTTGTCATTCATAGCCTCCCAACATTTGACCATGTCACCAATACTGTTCCCCAACATTTGCTTTAACTTCCAATGAGCAGACTCGACCCTAAAATTAATACATATTAAATATATTATAAAAAAATTTTAAAAAAAAAATACAATTTAGAAATACTAAAAACAAATACATACCGATTAGTCGTGGTGTTACCAAAATGTAGCAATCGATTAATCCATGCTTCAACAAATCTTTGTCTATGTGGTGTCAACCATGTGTTCTTCACATAATCAATAAATTCATTACAATCAACGCACGCCTGCTCAAGTTGTTTCAACGTTTGATCATACTCAACCTCATCACTAGCCCATACAACCTCCGTCCATAATTCGTCAATTTTCTTTTGCATGTCACTAGCCACATATTGTTTCCGTTTTGCACCAGCATTCTTGTTAATATGATATCGACATAGCATATTGATCGACCTTGGAAACACAATTTCAATGGTTTTCATCAAAGCAAGATCTCTATCTATCAAAATCACTTGTGGACACAACTCTTTTTTCACAAACAATTGTTTAAGCTTATCTAGGACCCAACAAAAATTCTCAGTTTGCTCAGACTCAATATAGGCAAATGCGACAGCAAAAGTCAACTCGGTTGATGTCATTCCAACAATTTCAAACAGAGGTTGCCTATATTTGTTTGTCTTGTAAGTGCTGTCCATAACTAGCACAGTAGGAAAAATATTCAACAACTTAACTGAATCTGGATGAGCCCAAAAGATATATCTAATAACTTCAGAGTCATCTCTTTTTCTACTCCAATAAACATAACCTGCTTCCTCAATAAGCTTAAACAAATGTTGTATCTCACTTCTAGAACCTCTTATATTTTTTACTATCGTACTCTTCTGTTTGTATATTTGCGTGATCCGAGTGACATTATCTGGATCTTACTCTTGCAATGAAAGCAGTATATGTCTAGGTGGAACCTTTCTCTTTGTCAAATCAATAACATGTTGCTTCTGATCCGCTGTCAACCTACCGACAAATGCGTGACCTTCTAATCTATCAGGTAAATCATGGTTATGAACTCCACATTTTACATCAATTTTCCATCCAGATCCATCAGCCGCTGGAATTGATCTGATTCTAAATGGACATTCACATTTTTTCGTCGCACTCTGAGTTCCACTAACAATATCTCTGTGTTTTCCTCCTTTATCACATCCAAATATTAATTTGTTACTTCTTCCTCTCTTACCTATTTTAATATCTGAACGAGTGATGATAACCGTAACTTTATTTCGGATTCTGATCTCTTTAATCCATCTTATCACCTATTCTCGTGTATTAAATTTTTGAGTAGTTGAAAAAACATCAGACGTATCTACCCATATTTGATCTTTATCGCATATTTGTAAAGGAACTTCTGAAATTACATACATACGTAAAAAAAAATTTTAAAAAAAAATTCAAAAAAATAAAATAAAAAAAATGCCAATACAAACCGGAACACTTATAGAAAGAGTTCCGGTAGCCAAACGAGTCAAAAAACAAACCGGAAGACTTGTTACAAGAGTTCCGGTAGTCAAAATTTTAAACCGGAAGACTTGTTCCAAGTGTTCTGGTGATCACACGAAAATTCCAATACCGGATGTCTTTATTAAAGTGTTCCGGTATGAAAGAATATGCATACCCATTTGCGATTCTCAGAGTGTTCCGGTTGATTGGGGGTCTATTCCTCAAAGTCTAAAAATTATAAAAAAATGAAAATAAAAATAATAAAATATTAAAATATATGAGGATAAAATGGGTATTTTTTTAAAAATGTAGGGGTGTGGGTACAAGTGTAGGGGTATAGGGTAAAGCTTCCCTTTTCTTATAATATGATGGAGTAATGGGCTTTATGAAATAAAGAGGTTAATGGACTTTGGCAATTTTTTGGGTAATAATAAATTTTGAAATGTGAATGAGTTTTATTTGTAGTCAAAATCGAATGGGTTTAAGAAATGGAGTTTAATATGGATAAAAAAAAAATAATTGGATTATTGAAAATGATTAATGAATTAAAAAAAGGATAACGGATAATGAAAATCGAGACATTGGATGGATAATGATTGAGAACTTGGAAATTAATTTAAAATGGATACAAAGACTAGAAAGTTGATTCAACCACACGTAATCTGGGTCCTCTTGGAAACCCTAACTAGGAAGTGATCTAGATTGTGACGATCATCACCTCCTAACTCCTACTGATAGCCTGCCATAGCTTAATAATTTGATCCTTATATCAACTGTCTTGGACTAGTACCAACTCTAATTAGGAGCTTCAGATTCACATCATCTGAATCGTGCTCGTTGCAATCTTGATCCTGAAACAAGTCTCTGCCTGGCCAAGATTATGACAAAACCTATTGAGCTGAAAACACCATTGCGAACACACTTGATTTGACAAACCTCTAATGAAACTCAATTCACACACTGGTGTCCTGAATTAGCCCAAAACCCTAACAACAAGTTTTGACTTACACCACTTGGTATATGCCTTCCATGGCTTTGATCACGAAACAAAATCTTGTCTGACTAAAATCAGGTCAAATCAAGACGATTCTCACTCCAAACTGCACATACTCCGGACCTGACAAACCTTAAATAAACCTCAATTCAAGGAAAAAGGAAATAACGTCATATTTTTTTTGATTTTCTGAATAACGTTAGTGGTTGGATGTACAGATGAAGGCAATATATAGGTAAAGCAAATTTGGGGTATGACAGGTACTAATATAAAACT